TATGTTGCTCGTATTATTTATTTGTGACATGTAACGTGTTTGGCACAATTGAGTGCTAGGAAACGCACCAGATGATACGAAGTGAAGATAGGTGTTCAAAGAGACAAAAGGGCTGGTGAAGTCCTGTAGTCACGACGAGAATGAGGACTTTAAGAGATACAGTTCAAGTTTCGGAGGAACGTCAAATAGGACTACCGAATAATCACCACTGGCTTTTATTCTGAGTCATGTTCAGTGATGTCTCACTGCACTGAGTTGTACGATTGGTAGGAGGAGGACCGTTGTTGAGGGGTGATTGTTGAATTGCGTTGTGGCCGCGGTTGGGACTTAGTTAGGTTTTGATGATGTATAGAGAAGCTGCGCCGGTGTTTTTACAATTGGTGAGATAATGGAATAATGTATTGTTGTGTTTGTGTAGTAAACAGAGTTAACAGTTGGTGCCCCACAGTATTGGTGGTGACATGTTGTTTGTGCTCAGCTGATGAATTGATAACTGGTTGTCATCCATTTTGTGTTTCAAGTGGGTATCATGCCTTTCGGATTTGTGCAACGTGTTATTCTTTTTAAGGGTACAATTGCTAAATGTTAGACTTCGATTAATGAGGTTGCTATTTTTTTACGTCAAGACAGTTTGATTGAGCAATGAATTTGTGGGCGGATACCATATAAGTAGTAATAGAAGAAGGATGGTAAGCGGGCGTTGACGGGAAAGTGAGAAAATGCAGGAGAAGTTTTTATTCAGTGGCGTGAATTGATGTGGCATGAAATCATTTATGGGCTTTGGTCTGTTGGATTTATGCCTGCTTAACGAAGCGTCACGGAAGTGATATTGGATTTCGCAGGAATCTTCTGGTGGCTTTTGAGGGGAGCGCGTTATATCTCGTAAGAGTTGCCGTTGCACGCCTGTGAGGAGGCGAATTGATGTGGAACTATGGAGAATGGCCAGTGTGTAGTGCTGTAACAGGAACTGGAGTATACACGTATATGTAGTAGAACCAAATGATAAAGATGTTTAGTGAATGGCATCTGACGAAGGCTGGTTAACAAGCCTAGTGCTTCAATGATGCCAAAATGAACGTAGCAATCACTGGCGGTGTGCATCGCATCCCGTTAAAATTGCTTCTACATATTGAAACATGATTCTTTTTGTGCATTCCGCTAGAGCCTGACTGTAGTCGGGTGTTTTAGGAATGCTATATTGAAAGGATTGATTTGTTGGCAAAACTACTGTCTACTGTGAATCTCTCCTACAAAGTTGCAGATTCAGATGTTAGATTTTTGTGCATTTTCATAGTACCAGGGCATTGTTCTGGTCTCCTAAAATGCTATATTGAAGTAGACGGTCGCTAATGGTATTCACGTGCCTCTAGTACCGTTTCTATAATTGTTTTCCATACAAATTGATTTGATTAATTAGGGATTTTTCGTTTGGGTTTGACCAGGTGATTGCCTGACATTTGGACAGCCCATATAGATGAGATGACAAATAGAAAGCGTTGTGGATGAGAAGTATACTATTAAGATTTAGCCTACGATGAGTGGCGATTATGTAGTATTTGCGTATTATATGCAAACCAATCTTATGTGGATGCTTGTTAGTCTGTATGAAGAATTTCCCGACGGTGAAGTTTTTATATGTTTAGTGTACTGTGTGTATTGATTATTGTGTTTTACTTGGTAATGAGTGTAGGTAAAGCTAGTTAATTATTCTCTCTGTATTTCAATTTATCTTGTTATATTTGTTCTACTTCTCTCTTTAATTATTGGTGTCCGCTTGCATGCATCATTTATCACTATTTTTGTGTAACTGTATTCTCGCAAATGAGTTCACTTTTAACTTTTCAGACGATCGGTTACTCCGCGACGTAATGGACGGCGTTCTCGTTCTTTCTCGTCTGGTCGTGACAGGCGGTCACCACGTAGAATGAACGATCGATATCGTCTTCCTTCTTCTCCCCGACATTATAATCGGTCGTTATCAAGAGAACGACGTTGACTGCTGACGCTTATTTAACTTGTTCATTGTTTTTATTGGTTTATACATATATATATCATGAATCTATCATCTAACTAAGCCTTTTGCTTTTCTTATCAGCTAATATCCTGCCGATATGGATTGCCTGTATGCTATGCTGATACATGGGAGATTGCTGTTGTTCGCAGTGTCAGGCGAGACAGTTTTGATCAGTTAGCTGTTTGCAGATTTTTAACTCGGAGTTTAGCTGTTAATCTGGAAACATAGTTGTGCTGGTGTGCAGTTAAATCTTTCCGGCAAAGCGGCTGTCTGATGGTGAGACTAGCAGGTTTTGCTGTGGTGCTGTAGCTGTTCACACATTGTGTTATGGGGATTAGTCGGTGTAGGTCTAAAGGTTGCTCTACAGAGTAACCAATATAGCCAATTCTCAAAGCGTGAACAGAATTTGCTTGCGGACATTTGGCGTTGACAACCAAGGTTGTTCATGCTGGTGGGTGTGTGAGCTGTGGGGGTGGTTACATGACTGCAGCAGGATTGCCGAAAAGTGGTGGTTCTAACCCCGTTCTTCGGGCCTAGATTCCGGTTATCCTGATGCGTACGGTAAGCCACTGGAGTAATTGATAAAACATTTTCCAAAATATATAACAGATAACCGTATTATGAAGTGTCCGAAGAATTTGCGCCTTCGGTAAGGCATTTCACGTCTGCCTTCTATTGTGCGTTGGGTATGTAACGTATTGTATTGTATCGTATTAGTCGTCGTGATTCCAATGCAATGTTATGACAATGCGCTGAACATGGTTGTTTCAGTGTTGTAAGTATATATCAACCGATAAGTTGCGGGCTCTAACCCCACCTCACCTACCTCGGTTTGGGGAATTCGGTTAGTATCATTAGCTTTCACACAAACAATGCGACTCAAAGTCGAGTTTATAAACCTGTGCTTAATAAATGGTTTACACTACATACTTCATATGCTTAGTTTAAGGAGGTCTTCGTGTGTTTGATGGCTTATCCAGCAGCCTGATAATATGCTTTATGTATTTAAATGTTGATGCTCATTAGTTTCTTAGTCTAAATTTACGGAATTTTATGCGAACTGGCTTGAACATCGATAAAGACGGTGGGATATATCCATTTTGGAAGTGTGTAAATGCTATATTCCATCGAATAAAGATCAGACTGGAGTTTGTCTACGAGGACAGTTTGTTGTAGGTCACCAACAAAGAACAGGTGCTTAGCACAGTGTTTCTTGACTGATGTGTCGGTTTCATGTTCGGGTGTTGACTGTGAGGTGATCTCTTCAGGATAAATTGTCAAATGGGTTTCCAGCACTGAACGTAACGAAGTATCATAGATATATGCAGATTGCATGTATAAATGTCGAGACAAGTCAGTGATCACAATGGTGCGTTGGGTAGGGTCTATTGTGTTGGGATAAATTGGTTGTTTCGACGATGCACATCGGTATTAAGTGTCGATTGAAAAGATAGATGGTGCCTGGAAGGTTTACTTTTGTTCATCTTTTATTTGTCGTTAATGTTTCTATTACGCAGTTGCAGCACCAGTCGCTTAAGTATGAAGTAGTAGACTGCGCAAAATTGTATCCCGGCCACTAGGGTTTCCATTGTTTGTGTTCTATGTGATATCTTTGGTTTGGTAAGTGTAAGCTTGACTCACATAGCCGGATTGTGTAGTCGTGTACTGGTTGCGAACAGTTTTGTTAGATTTAGAAATGTGGTTGGAATTTACCTCGCATTGTATATTCGCGCACATTTAATTTAACTTTCGATTCCTTTAAGTTTAGTTGTTATTTTTGTCTGTGTTCTATTCGGACTGTTGTTTAGTTTCTTTGATGCGTCTTTGTATACTAAATTATGTCAGTTTTTGCGGAAATGTGTTTGCCGGTTTGTTGTTGCCAACCACGTGGTGATATATTTTTGCTCCACTTTTAGAACGTACTATGAAAAATCGTGGAACCCATCTTCAAATGACTTACTGGTTTTTGGAATATTGAACACTGAAAGATTGTTGGTTACTTGTTTGGAAATGGTTCCTATTGCTCTTTGGTTTTATTGATACCTGAATCTTGATTACTTCGTTCCGTTTAATATCTGCTAATTGAATTATCCTCCGGAAGGCCACTTTACCTAATATTCCATTTTCTGTGTTTCTCTCCTGCGTTACTTTTTTTGTATCGCACAAAGATTCATGGTTTTTATAATGAATTCTTATTTGAACAAAGGATTGTTTTGTAGGTTAGTAATCACTTGACCCATGAATGTATAACCAAACTATTAGTTAATATGAAATGCCGCACACCCTGTCTTATAGTGCCAAAATATAACCGATAGATGTTATTTAGTTTAAAACTATCGAAGCTTTCAGTGGTAGAAGCAATATTTTTAATTTTTAACGTGGAAGTGTAAGTGACATTGAAGAATTATTTAGGAAATGGCAACATTATTGACAAACATTCGATTTTTATTTACAGTTAAAAATCTACATATCAGTCATCTGCTTCTTGTGTGTTTAGATAAAATAAGTGAAAGCATATTTAAAAATGGTTTGTACGATCATATTTTTATAAGCTATCAAGTTATATATAGAAACGAAATTTATCCTCGAATAGCTGTTCTTGATGCAAAATACAAGCCTGGTGCATTGATGATAGCAATATTTCTGATGATTGGATGACCTCTTTATATATCTCTAATGTATATATGAAGTCACTCAATCAAGATAATAGAATGAAAGCATCTCTAATGATTAAGTTTTAAATAAAGTAAATAATGTTTAAATCTGCACTGTATAGCGTAGTTAGTCTTTATTTCAAGGTTAAACTCTACAAAATCTACCTTTTAACAAATGGAAAATTCGTTTATTGCAATAAGTTTTATTTGAATCTTGTAACCTAATGAATAATTCAGGTACTATTGAAATATATATATATATATATATATATATATATATATATATATATATATATATATATATATATACTTTACAGCATTATGAATAGTTTAGAAAATGTAATAAGGCTCTACCTAATAGTGTACTACAAAAAAGTTGCACTCGTACAGCAAGTTTATAAAGTAGGATCAGACTACGGGCAACATAAAAATATATATATATTTTTTAGAAAAATATTTGTCAATAAATTCTTTTTTCTTTCTGTAAGTAGGAATGGCCTTATAGCTTGTTCAATAAAAATAATTTTACTGTACATTAATTTTATATACTGCAACAGGTATATTATACCATAAATATCATTCACAGTGAAATGTTTATGTATATGAATATTTATATCTATTATAAAATACACATATGTATCAGGAAGAAATCTACTCATACGATGATGATGACCATGGTAAAACTATAAATGAAGAAACAACATTGAAACGATAGCAAGTATTTATATCTCAGAATAATGTTAGATATATACTATGTTGTTTATTTATGTGCTAGTATGTTTCAACGATACATAGATCCTAGTCTTCTTATATTAGATATAACATTAAGAACGAAAATATTCTTTTATTATAAACAAATGTTCATATGTTATTTCATAAAACATATACTTAAATTTATAAAAATGAATTAGGCTCTGGTTCATCTTGTGCATTACTTTCATCAACTGAAATCACATCAAAATCACTCTCTCTATATATAAGTGGACAATAAACATGTGAAAATGTCAAACCAACACCATGTGAATCAGAATCAATTATTGAATGAGTACAAGTTTTTGAATTTGTTATCGCACTATTACTGTTCTTACTAGTACTACTATTAGTACTATTACTAATATTATCATTACTTTTATTATAATAATCTTTATTATTATTATTACTATTGCGCAACATATTAAGATTTACACAATGTATAATATTTTGTTTTGCATTATTAATCATATCTTCTTTACGCTTATCATAATTCTGAACATATTGCCCATGTTGTAAATCATTGTTTAAATTATCTTTATTTGTTATTAATTGATTTGAATAAATTGAATGTGATTGTGATGTTGTAATTTGTTTAGTATTTTGAGAATTCTGATTATTATTATTATTATTAGTTAATTGAAATATCCAATTTTTTATCACTGAATCATGTGAATAATAAGCACGAAAAGTTTTGTAAATACATGATGGATTATTTAAATCATATTTTATTTCTGTTTGACAATTTGTTGGTTGTATAGAACTAATTGATAGGTCATTATTTTAGTGATTAAAGATGATTGTTGAAATTGAGTTTCTATAGGTTTATAAAGTAGATTATTATCTGTATTGACAGGATTTGATATGACTAAATAGTTTGATACTTCATTAATAGCAGGTACTGAGGAATAATTCATTTTGATATAATCAATAGTATTTTCTGTTTTAATAATTGAATTGATTTTGTTTATACATTGAGGGGAATGATGAATAGGTGTTGATAATAGATCTTTTTTCATTTCACTTAATTGTAGAAAATCTTTATTTTTCCATTTTGAACTGGTGCATAAATCAACTGGAGCTGAAACAGCTTCAGAAGATAAATCTGTATTATCAATTGATATTAGTCGTTTTGTAGGATTACAAAATAGCGTAGATGAACGTCTTCTTTTACACATACGATAATAAAGACTATTATGAGGTAGAGATATTGATTTATGTTGATTTGTGAATGATAATTTAGATTTTGACTGATCATTAGAATGATTTATTGATTTGTTTTGTTTTTAATAAACACTTTTTCCGAAATTGTTTACTAATAGGGCATATTAATAGGAACCAGATGTTTAATTGTTGTTTGAAATGTTTATTCAATGTAAGATAAACAAAAAAATTAGTAGAGTAAGTAAATAAGCCCAACATATGCGCTATTGAACGATAAATCAAATATGGAGGACAACATCTCCACCGTTTGCATACATTACCAAAATGTCTATTAAATGCTTCAAATATAGTAATATATGCAAATGCTTGTGGTATTTGTCCGGCTATGAATAAACAAATAATAACAATTAATAAAATGGTTAATTTACGCTGTGCCGCTTGCCATTTGGCGCTTGAAGCTTTATTAACTTTTGTACTGCGCAAATTTGCTTTATGTAATTTAAAACGGCCGGTTTTTTTATTAGACAAATCTGGTAATAAGTACCTTTGACGACGTTTATTTGCTATATGTATGAAACGTAATAAACAAAAATTGACGAAGCATAGGAATAATAACGGTAAAACTTGTATTAACATAATACGTGTCCATGAGAAAATTTTATAAAAATCTGAATTACCGAATTCTGTAAGCCCAGTGAAAACTTGTATTGACCCTGATTGTATTGATTATCAGTTGAAGTTAAATTATTGAAGTGGTTTGATATAGTATGTAGCCACTCACTTGTTTTATTGTTTTCCATTTGTTTAATTGCTGATTTTTTTATAGGATTATTTTTCCTGACAACTTTTTGAACAAAGAATAGTGGCAAATTAAGTAGTATACTGAAAAATGTTATAAAAACTAGTGAATGTTTGAAGTTACAATTTTGGCAAGCATACAGTTGTATGCATTTATTTAAACTACAACGTCCTATTGATCTATCTAAATGTGAATGGTGTAATTTATGTAAGATACATAAGGACTTTGGCGTTGGAATATTGGTCAAACTATTTCTGATATGTTGTTTTAATACTGATAAATTACAACAGTTCGAGAGCTTTTCATACCATTTGAAGTTACCCACCGTTGTTTGTTGTTCACGATGCTGTTGCTGTTCCACTATATTTTCTACTGTTTCAATTGAATCCTTTTTTGGCAATTTTTTATCTTCATTAAAAGTTTCTTGATATTCTGTGGTATAAGTTGAATGGTTTGTGTTATACAATATTTCACTTTTCTGTTTTGAAGGTAATGTGTTAGGTGATTGCATCCTGAGTTTATTTTGATATGCTGAACCTATTTGGCTCATAGTTAAGTAACGTTCTACAGATAGAACTAGAGTAAACCATACACTTGCTGTCTCTGAAATATTTCCGATTGGAAAGAGAATATATGCATTATAGTAGAGTAGATAAATACGAAATCTTCTGAACGCTGGATGCTGACAATAAACGAAGTATTTGCCGCATCTACAAGCAGATACAGTGAAAAATAGAAAAACGGAAGGTTTTTATGTGGCTTAAGTCAATTAGTCCTATCATAATTGTCTGCTGAAATGTGCTTGTTAATTAATAAATTGTAGCCTAAGTTATGCAGTTTTTTGTGTGACGAACTGATGTCTCATTTCAGCTGGTTATTTGGTATATACAGATAAATCCAAAATTTATAATCTAACCTTTTCAAATTAGTAAGATTACTGGTTCACTTATCATACACAAAATCTTGTTTGGCGAAATCTCTTCAATTTCACTAATGTTATGTTAAGTCATTCATAGTCTATCGATTTAAAAAGCATGATTGGTTTCTGCATTTATAAATTGCTATTTTGGTGCTTGTCTAGATAAGTGAAAATTGTTTCAGAATTATTGCTTAGTAGAAAACACTAGGAAGGAATAATTGTACATTGCTTCTTAGTTTTCATTAGTTGTCTAAGGTTACTTTGTGAGTTAAACTATAAAGTTCAACGGTCTCCCCAAACCCCTTTATATTAATAGTGATTGTATCCTCAAATAATGATTAATTATGAGAATTCCTTAAATCCTAATGTAAAAGCCTTGGTAAGTAGAGCTCAGCTATGTTAGATGTGAGGCTGTTACCAACCCACCGATATTGGCAGATGGCTGACCAAATTTGAAAACTCAGTTAATACAGTGATCTTGAGTGCTGTTAGAGGTCTGAGGGCGGTCACCACTTCCCGGTTGCCCACACCGTTGAAGGGATCTTCTAGAGGCACCTGCAAAAGAAATTGGGTTAGGGGTGGTCTTAATGACCTGAGAGCGTGACAACAGTGCCCAAGAGACAACTGCTTGAAGTCGCTCACACATGACCTTTTTATGAGTAGTTTTCGTGTTGGCTCCGTACTTTTAAACTATCTGGTATTGACTCAGTGGTTTGGTGGTTAAGCATAGATCTGAAGGGTCATGGGCGTGCTCTGCTATAAGATATACAAAAGATTAAGTCAGATAATTAATAAATAAAATTCATCCAACTATGCAACAATTCCTCGTCCGAAAAGTTATCAATATAAAATAAATAAACTCAACCTGGAACCATCCTAAGATTACAGACAGCCTCAAGCCCGGATATGGAAGAAGTGTGTAGGGCATGAGGTCAGCAACTTCATCCGGTAAGTAAATAGCCTTACTAAAAAAACTTGCTAATCAGGTGAACAAAGTCGTGGATCATAGAATAAAAGTTAAAATGCTGTTGGGACATTAATTTAAAAATAAATAACTTATTGTTTTTTCGAAGTTTTAGTGCCTAAAATAATATTTATTTTCTATTTGAGAAAATGAAATCTGAAAATATCGTTTACTACGAGACCATTTCACATTTGAAACAGTCGCAGAACTAATTTAAGTAGGTATCTGTGATCGATTTCATTAAGCAATAATAATTAGTAGTGTGCTTCGGGATAGACTGTAAAAATTAATATAAACAAACATAACCTTAATCTTCCAAGTCACTGGCACGATAAATTTCGTTTGATAGAATAAAATAATAATGTAAATTATGTGAAATTAAGAAATTCAATACCATATGACTAGAAAGCCTAAGGTTTTATTTCGCATAACTTTTCCACTGATGGAATAAGTGAAGATGAAATGAAAAACAGTTGTTAGTTTGTGATAACAACGCATTTATTTGAACATAAAAATATTGGTACAAGGGGGCACCAGTTACATATGCGCCACAGAATAATAATGAGAAGAGATGAAATATGTAAGGTGCGTGTAAAGAGGACAATAACGACTACAAATCAGTGTATGGTAGTGTAATATTAATGGGGGGAAACAGAAAGAATCCTTTCAGTTAAAGAAGGTACGGTCACTTTTTATGAAGAAAGTAAAAGAAGGTTGGAAACGATGAATTACAACTGGACGGAGCTAGAAAGGATTGCCCAGGACAGGGTTGGATGGAGAATGCTGGTGAGCGGCCTATGCTCCTTCATGAGGAGTAACAGGCGTAAGTAAGTAAAAGAAGGTTACAGCAGATCTCCACTGGCTTCTATTCTGAGCCATATCTGATTACGTCTCTAGTCACTGTGTTGCACCATCTCTAGGACCCCAGCTAGGTAGTCGTGAAAGACCAACAGAAGCCAGTCCTGTACAGCTTTCTTTCATACGACGACACCATGTCATACACTGATCAACTCTCCACTTTTTCCAACTAGTCACAGGGTCGGCAAATAATGCACGACGACGAATTCACTGGGACGACATTCGTAGAACACATCCAAGCCACCGAAGTCGATGTTTCAAGATAGTGACATCAATTGGATTATCGTCTCTGCGCCCGAACACACGATGCCGAACCTCTGCATTACTAACATGGTGTTGCCACTGAATGTCAGCAATCCTTCGGAGACAACGATGATCGAACACAGAGAGTCGTCTAACGTCCTCAACTCGGAGAGCCCAGGTTTCACAAGCATAGAGCAAAACTGCGCAGACCAGGGCATGATCAGAGTCCAGATAGGTACTCCAAAAAAAGTGGCAGTCTTGTACACAGCCACGCCAGTGGTAGCTGATCGATGTGATCAATCTGAGTCCAGGCTTGAGATACAGAGGGAGGACGCCAGGTGGCACATCAGCGATGACTATGCCGAAAGTTAGTGTTAGCCGGAAACAGGTTGTCATCTGTGCACAGTTGCAGCAGACGGTGCCCGTTATCTTTTTTGCGACCAACGAGTCCCCATCGGCCATCTAAACGACTCTTCTGTGCCTAGACGCCCGACCTGAGCATTCAAGTCTCCGGCTAGTGCTACAATATCTGTCGAACGCACTTTCTGGAGAAGAACAGATAACTGGTGGTAAAACTCATCCTTGATTGCATCCGGGCTGCAATCTGTCGGAGCATAGGCGGAGATGACGAAAAGACATCGTTTCTCACGCCGATTTCTTCTCACTTTGATGGAACTTTCTAATCTAACAGCACCTAACGGACTGTTAATGGGGATCCAGTCGATTAGAGCTGCCTCAGCTCTAGTGCTAAGTGCGACACCAACGCCAGCAAAACCGGACGAAGACGCCACAGGGTCCCCGGATAAGTGCATATAAAACAAGCTATTTGAAGTGACAGATGGAGAGCGAATTTGTAGTACTTCGCCAGAGTCTTGAATACGGGTCTCGGATAGACAACAAACGTCGATATTAAAACTTTCTAAAGATATAGCCAGCTCTATCTGTTGTCCGGTCTGCATTAGTGCGTAAACGTTGAAGGCAGCCAGTTTGAATGGTGCACGTGGTTTCAGAAAAACTGCTTCAGTATTCTTATTCGGTGGGAGCATTCAACTTTCGACCAGGCAGTGACTCGAGATCGTCTTGATAGAACCGAGTTTCCACCATGGGTTAGCTGCTGTGTAATTTAAAAAATGAGGACATATGAAGTGACAATAAAAAGTGATGAGTGATGTTGTACATAAAAAAGTAGTAGTAATAATAATAAAGAAGAATGTTGTTAAGTGAAAGGGAAATGTCTGAGTTCTGATCGGAGCGGGCATAGTATTTTGCGAAATATTTGTCACCACATCAAATTTGTGAGGGCTGTGATAGTGTCCACCAACCCGGTTAAAGAGCCGAACATTCGCTTTTCGTCCTCTTAGTTTCGTAACCAACACCAGTGGTGCGAGGAGGCATTGAGTAGGACTTCCCTGGCAGTGATTGTATGCACGTGGCCATGTGAGAGCATTTCCAGAGGGAAAGCGGACTTTCCCCACCCTCGGTCGTACCAGGGCATTTGGGGGCACAACGCATAATTTGATACAGTGAATTAATTCAAGACCAGACATATTAATAAGTGTTGTTTGTGTTCGTATAGATCAAAATTTTATCTGCCGGTATGTATGTGACAGAAGGAATTAAAACCATGTTAGTCCAGAGGAGATCTACGATGACTGAAATGTTAGATACCATTTTCTAACAAATGTTTCATATTAATAAGGTTCTTTAATAACAATCAAATAACTTCAAAATATTTCAGTGACATCTCCAAAATATCATCTGTCTTTAAACATATGTATTTCTGTACTAGTAAAATAAGACGCAAGGACTTGACCTAAATTTACTTTATACGATAAACTATTAAAATTTGCAATATAGGGATTTGCGGAGATTGCAGTATTTTCACAGTTGAAATCGCGAATCTATCAAAGCTAAACCAGCATTGAAAATCCGGAAGCACTAGGTGGTCATTTCGTTCTAGTATGGGACTTAGCAATGCGCATCCGCAATCACGCACGCGGGACCATAACCCAGACAGAAGGTTCTGGGTTCAAATTCCATCAAGAAAAGCAAGCGGTAGTAGATCTGTTACGCATTTATACTTTCTTATCACAACATGTTCAATTATCATATCTTTTTATCTTACATATTTCCGACTGAACTTCTTAAAATTGTGTAATTAGTCTTCCACCAGTGACTGAGTACAAATCTATCAATGTGATGACTATTCCCAGCCTATTTATCCACGTTTGACCTTCTATTTCCAGCGTTTAACTATTGATAAGACTTTTGTCATCGTATTTTATTATTCTTACTACTATCAGTACACCTGTCTTCCTACTATCAACATGAATTTTACCTATTATGTGTGGTGACTTATTCTATTTCATTGAGATTATTGACCCATATTGCCTTGATTGGTTTAACATTTTCGTATAAATATTCATGTATATTAAAGTAAAGCCTGATGACGATCTAATTGAAAACAATTGTTATCTTACATGTGTTGTTCTAACATATCTATGTGTTTGGTTGAGGGAATTCAATCGTGCTTTCAAACCTAATTATACGCTAGTTGAGGTTGACAAACCAAGTATTTGTTGATTGTTAAGTTAACTAGTGCTTCTAGATTAAAATAAACATTTTACTACAGAATATTAGTCAATGAATAAAAACTCCATTGATGATATATTTGGCTATGAAACTGGATAAAGTAATAATGAATCTCAAGGGAGATAATCAGTTCTTTCAAGTTTTCAAATGCGCTTTTTTAATACCATCAAGGTGCATAGGTTCATAATTCCTTATTGATAATCTCGACTCTAACATAAAATAATTCCACAGTATTACTGAATCACTAAGCCTTATGTTTATATAACATGTTCGATAGATAGAATTCATCTAGCAATATAATCTATACGACAT